CGGGAAGAATTTTTACACCGGAGAGAAATACTCATTTTTTCGAAATAGCCGAACGGTTCCGAATTGTACCAAGAGCGCGTCAGAATGTAGACTGGTACTCGCTCCCACCTCAATTAATCGATGGTGGAGGTGGGAGGTGGGACCGGGTACCAGTCTAGTTTGACTATGTCACGTGCAAAGGATTTTTAGTGCAGCGGATAATCATAACAATTGTGCAAATTATGACTAAAGCATGAAATTTTTACCAGTGTTAGTACATACCATAAGGTTCATTTTCAGATCGGGAGGTAAGTCAGATTTGACCTCTGAGGACCGTGAGAGGTCAATGACCTCAATTACATTGAAATTGTCATTTTTTCACGATTCTGGTGCTGTTTGTCTGTTTTTGGAATCATTAAAAAGGTATGTTGCCATGTGTTGGTCTCTTTATCTTCTGGAGAGCCTATTTATACATAATCACAGGATGCAACCATGACTGAACAAGTGCTTTATATGAGGTCAGTGACCTCAGACACATGTATAGTACATACCGGTACATGTAATACACACACATTATCCATGTAGATGCTTAAATATAACGGTGTCTGATTGCACCTAACAGTCTCCCGAACATGCACATAATGCAGTGCACTTGAGTGCAGCCTTGGTGCACTTGCAGCGGCCGGTACATTCCTTCTTGCAGCCACAGTGGATCAGTTCGTGGCAAGATTTTGATGCCTCTGGCAGTGTCGTCCAAAGAGGCTGCCACCCAGAGGCCACCTTTGTCCAGCCTCAGTCACATGGGATTGGTAACTGGATTCAGGACCAGAGTTTGGTTCCAGCAGTTGCCCTGGAAAGATGCACGCTTGATGTGCTGCTGGAGTGCTGCCTGTGTTGGGGAAATGTTTTCTAGAGCCCTAGATTTATGTGCGAAGAGCTGTTTCCTAGCATCGTTCACTTCCATGATGTCACTGGTGCGGTCATACATCAGCACAACGAAGCGCTCCAGCAGTGACATTGACTCCTCACTGACATCACATAACATGTGTAAGAGTTCTTCAAAGTCATCAGTTACCTGTGGGAACACTTTCCAAATCTCCCAGGCAGTCTTCTTCCCTCTGCCAGCGAAAGAAGACACAGTGTCCCACCCTGTGAGGTCATGGAAGATGGGGAGAGTAGCACATTGTCTTGGGTTCATGGCGACAGCCAGTTGGTGAACAGCTATGTACCGGAAGCTGGATCCAGTACCAAGAACTATCCACAGCTCGTCAGGATTGATGTTGTTGAAAAAAGCCACAGCCAGTACCACAACACGCGCCAGTATCCACAGTGCGTATGGCCAGCTTCCTTAACCCCATTCTGCACAGCATCTGCTACATGTAGAAGCAGGCGAGTGTCCGCCTCCTCGTGTGAACATGGGGCGAGGCTGGTCAAGTCGGACTCGGCAGGAGAACACAGGACCTCAGTTCCACATGTTGCATACATTTCCTTGCCATCTGCTATTGGAAGACGAATGGCCTCTCGTGACAGGAAACCAAAGAGCTTAGTCAGAGACAGTAGAACACCATAGAGACTGTTCAATTCCTACTATTTTGGGCAACAGGGGCGATACTAGCGCCCCTGTTGGTTGGAGGTGCAAAAGTTTCGTGGCGCCGAGGTTAACGTAGTAAACAATACAGATCACGGTAGTTTTTCTGTTTCATTTTAGAAATATAAAATAATGATATATCAGAGTAATGCTATTCGAAAACGTTAGAAAATGCATAATACTGCAATTAACCTCCGTAATTTGTTTTAATTGGCATATTTGTTGCAATATAAACACAACACATGGCCTATGCCTAGAGACAACTAACGAATGCTACGCTACTTTTCTAGGACACGCTACTTTTCTAGGAACTAGTTTTGTTTTGCGTTCGGGGAAGGTTACGTAGAACCATGTGTTCTGCGCATTTCTAATATATCACTGCTTATTCTCTTCTAGAGATTGTACTGTTTTGGTTGGTAAGTTAACATGGAAAAATTTGAACATTCTAATATCTTATAGATACTGGGTTGTCAATGTCAGGTAGAATTAGGAATACACAGCCTGTGTATGACTGTCTCTTTCCGTCGTCCGGGGTCCGGGTCTTTCTGTATATGACCGTTTCTTGGAGCTATTCCATACAGCCATATAAATACAGCTGAATCAGTGAATGGTCGGATAGTCTGTACTGTTGTTGTCCCGCCCTGTAGTTTTTAATGCGTTGCATTTCAAAGTCTACAATATTCGTTTTGATAGTTTATAAAAATACACTTGAAAACCTTATAGGAGTTTAGTTTTACTATTTAGAATTTATTAGATAGAAACATTGCATTTAGCTAAAATATATACATAGCTGATTATCAATGAAATGGAATGAGGTGCTGTTAATGAATGTATTTACAAGAGGTGGTTTTATTTACCTTAGGCTTATAAGCTTATTAATGAGTTTGTTAATTAGGTGACAAGTGTACTTAGTTATGGCTCCTTAAATTAACATAAATATGAATAATATA